TCACTGTGCTGTACACCTGAAACTAACATGATATTGTAAATCAACTATACTTCAATAAAAAAATAAAAAATAATCTCTGAAAAAAACCTTATGGGGTGCAGCAATAGCAGTACTAACAGGGAAGTTTATAGCTATAAACACATATTAAAAAGAAAAATCTCAAATTAACAACCTAATTTTATGACTTAAGGAACTAGAAAAAGAAGACCCACCAAACTGAAGCTAGCAGATGGAAGGAAATAATATAGAGAAGAGATAAATGTAATCGAGAATAGAAAAACAATTGGAAAAAAAGCAATGAAATTAAGAGCTACTTTATTGACAAGCCTTAGCTAGATTAACTAAGAAAAAGAAGACAACTAAAATTGAAAGAGGGGACATTACAATTGATGCCACAGAAATAAGGAGGATATGAGAATATTATGAACAGTTGTATGCTAACAAACTGGATAACCTAGAAGAAATGGGTAAATTCCTAGAAACATACAACCTACTAATTCTTAAATTGTGAAGGCATAGGAAATCTGAACAGACCAATAACTAGTTAGGAGACTGAATCAGTAATCAAACCTCCCAACAAAGAAAAGCCCAAGACGGGATGGCTTCATTGGTGAGTTGTTCCAAATATTATATTTAAAGAAGAATTAACACTAATCCTCCTCAAACTCATACCAAAAAAAATGAAGAGGAAGGACCACTTCCAAGGTCATTCTGTGATGCCACCATTATCCTGATACCAAAGCCAGACAAGGATACTACAAGAAAGGAAAACTAGAGACTAAATCCCTAGAAAACACTGATGCAAAAATTCTCAACAACATACTAGGAAACTGAATTCAACAGCACATTAAAAGGATTATACATACCGTGACCATGTGGGATTTGTTCCTAGAACACAGAGATGGTTCAACATGTGAAACTGATCGATGTAATACACCACATTAACAGAATGAAAGAAAAAAAGACATCACAGCATCATCTCAGTTGATACAAAAGAGCATTTGACAAAATTCAACACACTTTCAAGATAAAAATACTTAACAGACTAGAAATAGAAGAAAACTACCTAAACATAATGAAAACCATATATGAGAAACCCACAGTGAGCATTATGCTCAATGGTGAAAGATTTAAAGCTTTTCCTCTAAGATCAGGACCAAGGCAAGGAAGCCCACTCTCAACACTTGTATTCAATATAGTACTGGAAGTTCTAACCAGAGCTATTAGACAAGAAAAAGAAATTTAAAAGTATCTGCATATAAAAGGAAGAAGTAAAATTATCTCTATGCACAGATGATATGATCTTGTGTGTAGAAAATGCTGAAGACTCTACAAAACAAATGAAACAAAAGCAAAAAAACCTGATTAGAGCCAATAAAGGAGTTCAGCACAGAAGTCTCATTTTAATATGGAGAAGCACTCTCCTCCATATCCAGATACATCCAACACTTCATCCTTTTATGAACAAGGAGGAGCACTTGGGAGATGGTGGAATAACTTTGTTCTTTGGTACATTCACAGTGCATACTGTTTAAAACTGAAGACTGCCATGTACACTTTTGCACAAACTCTAGGAAGGAAATAGACGGTTGACCAAGTAGGTAAGGAGTCTGTCTGTACGTCTGTGTGTGTGTGATGGATGTGGAAGTATGGTCATGGTGCATGACTTTTCTTATGTAGGAAGATTAGGTAACTGATGACTGTTACATGGCAGCTCTTTAGTGAGGTATGATCTTTTTATTCCCTTAGGTATGGCTTTCAATTGATGGCGGCAACACCTTTGAATTAATAGCTGACTTTCATGATGATATCATAAAGAATACTTATCATAGTTTTTATACTTCAGATATTACTTTTGTTTCCCGAAGTGGAAAGGTTTACTTGACAAAGGCAGGTGAGGAATTCACTTTTATTGGTATAAGCACTACCTGTGAGCCAGGGATTAGAAGATTTATTTTTAAATCTGCCATATTAATGAACTAATCCTAAAGTCACAGACCTATTAGGGGTGACGGATTTAAAAAAATTTTTTTACTGTAATAAAAATAAACATAACAAAATTTACCATCTTAACCATTTTTAAGTGTATAGTTCAGTGGTATTAAATACATGCAAATATTCTGCAAGCATCTCCAACATCCATCTCCATAACTCTTTTCATCTTGAAACTCTATACCCTTTAAAAAATAAATCCCAACTCCCCTCTTCCCCACAGCCTCTCACAGCTACCATTCTACTTTCTGTCTCTATGATTTTGACTATTTTGGTACCTCATATAAGTGGAATCATACAGTGTTTGTCCTTTTGTGACTAGATTATTTCACTTAGCATAATGTCCTCAAGGGTCATCCATGTAATAGCATATGTCAGAGTTTTCTTCATCATTGAGGCTGAATAATATTCAGTTGTATGGTATATATGACATTTTACTTGTCCATTCATACATCAGTGGACGATTGGGTTGCTTCCATGTTTTAGCTATTGTGAATAGTGTTGCCATGAACATGGCTATACAGATATATCTTTGAGACCTGCTTTTATTTCTTTTGGGTATATACTCAGAAGTGGGATCGCTGGATCATATGATAATTCTATTTTTAACTTTTTGAGGAACTGCAATACTGTTTACACAGCACTGTACCATTTTACATTCTGACCCCCAGTGCAAAAGAGTTCCAGTTTCTCCACATCATTGCCAACCCTTGTTATTTTCTGGTCTTTTGACAGTAATCATCCTAATGGATGTGAAGTGGTTTTTCATTATAGTTTTGATCGCATTTCCCTAATTATTAGTGATGTTGAGCATCTTTTTATGTCCTTATTGACCATTTTTTAATCTTCTTTGGAGAAATGTCTTTTCAAGTCCTTTACCTGGTTGTTAATCAGATTGCTTGTTTTTATTGTTGAGTTTTAGGAGTCTTCTATTTATTCTGCATATTAATCCCTTGTCAGATATATGATTTGCAAATATTTTCTCCCATTCTGTGGGTTACCCTTAACTAATTTGGTTATTTCTTAAGTAGTTTTTTGATGCTGTTGTAAATGGAATTGTTTTCCTAATTTTGTCTTCTAATTATTCGTGTTAGTGTACAGAAATGCAACTGATTTTTGAGTGATGATTTTATATCCTGCTATTTTGCTGAATTCCATTATTAGTTCTAATCGTTTTTTTTTTTTTTTTTGTAGAAGCTTTAGCGATTTCTACGTATAAGATCACATCATCTGTGAACAGAGATGATTTTACTACTTCCTTTTCAATTCTGATGCTTTTAACTTCTTTCTCTTGCCTAATGGCTCTGGCTAGAACTTCCAGCACTATATTGAATAGAAGTGGTGAGAGTGGGCTTCCTTGCAATGTTCCTGATCTTAGAGGAGAAGCTTTAAGTCTTTCACCCTTGAGTACAATGTTCACTGTGGGTTTCTCATATATGGTTTTCATTATGTTTAGGTAGTTTTCTTCTTTTTTTTTATAATTTTTATTGGAGTATAGTTGCTTTACAATATTGTATTAGTTGCTTTACAATATTGTATTAGTTTACACTGTACAGCTATGTAAAGTGAATCAGCTATACATATAAATATATCCCCTCTTTTTTGGATTTCCTTCTCATTTAGGTCACCATAGAGCACTGAGTAGAGTTCCCTGTGCTATACAGTAGGTTCTCATTAGTTAACTATTTTATACATAGTATCAATAGTGTATATATCTCAATCCCAATCTCCCAATTCATCCCATTCACCCCCCCCATAGTTTTTTTCTATTTCTAGTCTAAGTGTTATATCATGAAAGTATGTTGAATTTTGTCAAGTGCTCTTTTGTATCAGTTAAGATGATGTTGTGGGGGTTTTTCTTTCATTCTGTTAATGTGGTATACTACATTGATCAATTTTCATATGTTGTTTGCATTCAATGTTCCTTGTATTACAGGAATAAACCCTACTTAGTCATGGTGAATAATCCTTTTAATGGGCTGCTGAATTCTGTGTGCTAGTATTTTGCTGAGGATTTTTGCATCATTACTCATCAGAGATATTGGTCTACAGTTTTCTTTTTTCTTTTTTGATAGTGTTTTTGTTTGGCTTTGGTATCAGGATAACACTGGCTTCATGGAATGAGTTGGGAAATGTTCCCTCCTTTTCAATTTTTTGGAAAAGTTTGAGAAGGTCAGTATTAGCTCTTCTTTAAATGTTTTGTTGAATTCACCAGTGAAGCCATCAGGTCCAGGGCTTTTCTTTGTTGAGAGATTTTTTATTACTAATTCAATCTCCTTACTAGTTTTAGGTCTATTCAGATTTTCTATTTCTTCACGATTTGCTTAGTCTTGTAGGGTTTTTTCCTAGGAATTTTTCCATTTTATTTAGCTTATCCAATTTGCTGGTGTACAGTTGTTTACAATACTCTCTTATCCTTTCTACTTCTGTAGAAGTAGCAGTCATGTTCTCACTTTCACTTCTGATTTTAGTAATTTGAGTCGTCTTTCTTTTTTTCTCAGTTCGTCTAGGTAAAGGTTTATTGATCTTTTCAAGAACCAACTTTTGATTTTATTGATTTTCTTTCTTGTTTTTCGACTCTCTATTCCATTTATCTCTGCTCTAACCTTTATTATTTCCTTTTTCCTTGCTAGCTTTTGGTTTACTTTGTTCTTCTTTTTCTAGTTCCTTAAGTTTTAAAGTTAAATTGTTGATTCGAGAAATTTCTTGGTTTTTGTTTTAACAATTTTAATTGAGGTATAATTGACATATAACGTTATATTAGTTTTAGGTATACAGCATAATGATTTTATATTTGAAGGCATTGCAAAATGATTACCACAATAAGTCTAGTTAACATCCATCACCATACATAGTTACAGATTTTTTTTTCTTGTCATGAGAACTTTAAGATCTACTCTCTGAGCAACTTTCACATATGTAATACAGTATTATTAACTATAGTAACCATGCTGTACCTTACAGGTATATATAATTTTATTGTGCTTAGCTTTATTGCACTTTGCAGATATTGCTTTTTTTTTAACGAATTGAAGGTTTGTAGCAACTATCCATTTTCAAATGATGGTTAGCATTTTTCAGTGATAAAGTATTTTTAAATTAAGGTATATACATTGTTTTAAAGGCATAATACTATTACACCCTTAATAGACTACAGTCTAGTGTAAATGTTAACTTTTTTTTTTTTTTTTTTTTTTTTTC